GTGTGCCTTGGCAGTTTGGAGCATAATAACTGAATGCTGCTTTACCATGTTTAGTTCTGACTAAATGACTGATTAAAGCACAAATTCAATGAAGTCAGGATGGTTAACCAATATTTTATTTTTTGTGACACTTCCCATGATTCCAGGTACACCAAGGAATAATTCAAGACTGCGGCAACCAGACCAGGATCAGCCTGTTTTTACAGACAGCCTTGTGTCTGTCCAACGTCACCTGCTGCCTGGACGCTCTGTGTTACTACTTCATCGCTCATGAGGTGAGGAGCCCCAAACACAGCTTCAGGAGATCAATGATCAACCAAAGAAGAGCCACCGTAAGCACTTCAGAGTTCTGACAGCAATTGAATTGAATTGTGAATATTAGTTGTCAAAGGACGGCTGGTGGTGAATAGGAAACCTGACTTAATGAGTGATAGCCAAAAACAGGGGAGTGAAACTGAAAAAGAGCATGTATTTTTTTTAGTAGCTAAGTGTGTCATGCACGAGTAACAGGTCAAAATGCAATCTCAATTTGTGCTTGAGAGTAAGGGGGAAACGATGGGGTGATGAATGAGTTGATACAATGACAGGAAGCACAAAGACGCCCGTATAGCCTCAGAGAGCTCTGTGGGCTGCAAAAATATCACCTTTCTTCTCAAATGATTTATTGTCGGGTTTGTCATCCATCCTGCGCACTTAGCATACGTGCGCAGTTTCTAAGTCTTAGAAACTGACGTGTGGTCTGATGGAAATATAAAGCTGTCAAACGGGGCACCAGCTGCTCACCGCACAGCTCTGCAGTCTATGAAGTCAAAAGGCGCTCTCCTGCAGATACACCAATTTGGTTTAATAGTCAAAACAGTCAGTAAATGTGTTACTTCTTCAAACACATAACTAATTATAATAATAATCATCATAAGGCTTTATTTATCCCTCATATATGAAATGCGGAACAACCTAAAAGTCAACTTTATAATAAGGTCAATAATTAAAAAGGAAGGTAGTGAATACAAAAATTACTTACATATTGATTGAAATATGATTTCAAATATTCCCTTACTTGGTAAATGAATAAATCAACACAGCAACCAGTAGAGATCTGAAGAAAAAAAATGAAATTGATTATTATCAATCTTTCAAATATATTTTGCATTATATTTTTATAAACTCAAACACATTTTTGTTTACTATTTTAATAATTGTTTTTTTATTAGTTTGGTCCCCTGAACATTGTGAATTTGAAGAAAAATGACTTTAATCCTGACGCTTATTGACAATGATGTGTTCTGCTTGAATGATTTTTAAATGTATCTGTACAGTGATTATACTTAACATATTTTCAATAACTGATCCGAATGAGGAAGTAAATTGAAAGGTCTCGTTGAACGTTTTGGGAAATCAAACTGTCTGACAGGGTGAGTAATCAACTTCCTTTGACTCGCAACAAATGCTATTACAAATGACAAAAGTAATTTTATTTTGAGTTCTTTGTTGGAATTCTTTTACGATGTAGCTTTAAATGTGCAATATAATTGACATTGTTAAAAGTCCTGTGTGTACTAAGACTTTCAATAAGATTGTTTGATATTAATATGTTTAGTAGAGGATATTTGGTTTTATGTAAATATTGTCAAAGCTAAACCCAAATGTAAAGTTGCACATTCATTACCTGCCGTACACGCTCTGCCTTATTTCGCTCATGTTGAACAGAGTACTCTTGTGGTAACAGTGGAAGGTGTTCATAGGTTTCAGTAAGGGCTTAACTGTATTTAGAAGCAGCTTTAAATGTTATTGGCTATAACCAGTCGGCCATGATTGTATTTACTTGCATTACTTGTCTCAATACCTTCATTTTGCACAAGCGTACTGTGTTGAGTTTCAATGTTATTTGTTTGAGCTCAGTAAAAATGAATTTCAGTTTTCCTTTGGAGTTTTCTTTTGAAAGTGAAATTGTTTGTTCATAAAGCTCTTAACATTTTTCATCAGTTTTTTTTCTGTTTTCTGTGCAAATGGTCTACAAACTAGAATCGGCTAAAAATAAAACAAAGATGATGTAAACATTGTACAGTAATACTTATCAGAACAAAGGCCTACACATTGAAAAAGTTGATTTCTAGTATACGACACATGGACCACTAATAAGAGTTCCAGAAATAAATGCTTTCTCATCAAAGTGACACTGTTTTTGAAACCAAAGCTTCCTCTTTTAAAGAGAAATAAAGCAACCCACGGGAGTTTCATCTCGTGATGTGCGTCACATCATAACAATGACGCTGCAGCTATGTTGTATAGGAAAATCACAAGCAACCCATTATGTGTGCAGCTTTCTCAGATTAATGATGTGGAAGATGTGTTAAACTCGAAATGAAAAAACTCGAAAGTCAAAAATAAGTTTGATCATTTATTTTAAAGCAGCAAGATATCAGAAGTTATATTGACTGTACAATAAAGTAAGGTAATCTAGGACGATGAAATATGAGCACAAATCACAGGTTTCTCTCAAAGGAGACTTTTCTGCTCCAGGTTGTACATTAAATAGACACCCCAAATCTTTTTCAATCGGGACAAATTAACATTGTAGAGATTTTTTGTCCCGATAGGAGTGTTTGGGGACTGGCAAAATCCAAGTAAAGAGGAAGAGCGAGACAACATGAGTTAAGCCTTTGATATCATCTATTCTACAGTAAGTGATCTAACTAAAAAGCATTCTTCTTAAATATTTCTTATATCCTTATAACCAAGCATAGTGCAGACTTTGGTTCCTTCTGTCCTTCTAAAGCACTGCTACTGAATACAGTCTAGAGCCATTATATCCAAGGAGTAGGAAAGTGCGATACCAAAGGAAATGACAAGACAAACCATAAAGAAATAATTCACAAAACAAGTCGATTTTAGATAAAAATCTATGCATGTAACAATAGGTCATCCAGATGAGAATAAATGTACAGTTTATATTGCTTAGGAACAATTACCCTTATATACACACCATTCATTAATGATACGAACAAGCAAAGAAAAGTCTTAACTACATGAGGTATATTCCATTTTCTGACATTCAAAACAAAAAAAGAACAAATTAACATGAGTGCACTGTGTGAGCGCTTTCAAGCATCTTGACGGACGCCTACAGTGCAATAGGTTAGAAAAAATACAAAAAAAGGACAAAACAACATTTCAATTAAATAAAAGTTTGCGGATGCAAGTGTAACTAACTGACACACTAACAGTGACATTGACAACAGATATATCCAAACACATTCATAACTTCATTCAAATAAACTGGCTGAATAAAAAAAGACATTTCACATGAACATGGAAGAGCATTTCCAACTTGAGACAAAAAAATTAAAAATATAACTCAAAGTAAAATTGTTGGACAAACACTTGCTCTTAAAGTGCAGTTAAAATCCTAAATAATTTAAGAGGTATGGTTTGAAATTGGCTTCAGATTTGGGTGGCTGTGATTTCCGCTTTAGATTTAGAACCTGTCACAGATGACGGTCTCAACCACAAAAGTGTTCTCGAAGTGACGGATGCGATGGCAGGTCTTTGTCTCGCGCCTGTCAATACCTGCAAGAGAAAAGAAGACACATTTAGAAAATCTCTTCATTAGCAGAGGCTTGCTGGGTTTCCTATTTGTTCGATTTGAATGAGCAGCGGTAATCCCCACATAAATATCCATATATGTACTCAGGGGAAGTTTGATGCATCACACCAATCAAAGGCGCCAACGACAGGAGATCTCAGAAGCGCATCACTACCTCCTTCGTAGTGTGTGGATGTGTCCACTGCAGTAGCAGTGACTCACACAGCAGGAAGTTCCCAGGCTGGGCCCACACACACGCACACACATATACACACACACACACACACACACATATACACACACATATATACACACACACACACACACACACACACACACACACACACACACACACATATACACACACACACTGACTGACTATCAGGCTGCCAGGCCATTAGAGGAGGGTATTAAAAAGCAGACCCAATATCTGCGTGTTTACCAGGAAGCCCTTATTTGGCTCTGGTTACATTTTATTACATGCATGGTCACATGACTCAACTTCTCACAAACGTTGGTGTGAAGTAGACTGATGATTGGCGGAAGTGATCCATCAACAACTATTTAGCATATCATATTGCCTGTCGAGCTGCAATGATTAATTGACTAAACAAATTCTGGATTAAAAGAGAATGTTGGTTATCTAATAAAAAAATGTATGAATAGAATATTTAAGGTATTTTTCCAAGGAAGAAAAATGGGTTTTAGCCTCTCGATTTTATGCTATATCAAACTGAATATCTATGATGTCTATGATCACCTTTGACTTTGAAGAACAGGGATGGACATTTTCCACAATTTTCTGACATTTTATAGGTCAATTGTGAATAATCGGAATAATCTTTAGTTTCAGTGTTAACTGCTGAGTAGATTGGAAATGGAATTGGATGAGTGCACTTACGTCTGTGTGGGTTGCGGCGTCGGAGGCGGTAGGTTTCTTTGCCGTAGCAGAGTCTGTGGATGAAGGGGCCAAGCTGCCTCATGTTCCTCACCCTCCCTGTAACCATCATCTCCTCCTGGATGATGTATGTCTGAGGAAGGTATGTTCCTCTCTGTTTCAAAGAAAAACAAATGATTAATCTCTAGCAATGCTTTTACAACAGCTTCACCAGAGACAAGAGGTGAGGATGTAGTGGGCGCTCACCTTGACGTTGACCAGTAGCTCCCACAGGTTTCGTGGAGGCATCACTAAAGTTGTGTTCAGCTCGGTGATGTAGCATTTGTCCAAAGCAATGTCATGATAAGCTGTGAGGCCCTGAAATCAATAGAACAAAAAGGTTACAATCTGAACGATAATGAATGAATAATGAGATACTTGAATAGGAAAATATAATGAGAGCAAACTAATGGATGTTTCAACCTACCCTGTGAAAGTCGTGGATGATATCGGCGGGGTCACTGCCTCCGAAGTGTGGCACAGGTACACTGATCTGCTCGTAGTTGTCGTCAAGATAGATGCCAACATTCTCCTCGATCTCTTGGCGGCCCCTCATAGGAGCGAACACAGAGTCTTCGTAGACAACCCGGCAGTGGAACAGGCTGTCTTCTGGGATCTGCTAATGGGACGCAACAGAGCTGAGTTAGAATCTGACAGTTACTTTAAGTTTTTGTATTTTTGTTCATTAAACTTCTGAGCCACGGCGTTCAGGATATGAGGTAAGAAAGGGGAGGTAGAATGAACTGACCTGAGGTATAAAGTAGTAGCGATACACGTAGATAGAAGCCAGCATCAGTCCTGACATGAACACCACCAGACCAAAGGTGAGGCAGCAGAGGCCAGTTGGAAAAGTCTTCCTCGGCCCAACGGGAAGTATAAGCTTCTCCTGTAAAAAGGAAAGAAAGGAGGTTGATTAGGAGGGCATGATATTTAAAAAAAGGACACAAAGTATTCAAGTAACACAACATGTTTCACCAAAATATGTGCAAAAGGATGCAACTGACATGTGGGGCGTTGCATTTGCATTGCAGTAATGCTGCAGCCAAGAAAAACATATCTTTTATTAAAGCTACTATGTATGTTTGGACTATGGATGGAGTATCAGCGGAAGTGATGTCCCCCTCACACTGCCATGCTGTTCTGTACAAAGTCAAGTAAGTTCTGACAGGAGGTAGTTGCTAAGTCGTCAGTGAGGAGAGGAGATCTGATAGACGTAGGACGGACATGAATGAGGCATGCCAGATGCCCACCCACAGTCTCTCAGTCTCCACTGCTCTCCCTACTACTGTTGCTATGGAGAGCGGAAGCAGGGAGAACAGATTGCACAAGGCTCTGACGAAGATGCTCGCACATGGCCGTCTGGAATTATTATTGGAGGCCTACTTCCACGCTCCATATTTGTTAGTTCCCTAGCACCCTCAGTGGGAGTCAAAGCGAGAAGACTTGCGTTGAGGAGTCCCTCAGCAGAGGCGGACATATTAATAGATCTACACACATTGGCTCTGACGCCTAGCACACTGTCAAAGCCAATCAGAATCCACACAGCTTTTTAGATCATGACTTATTCTTCTGTCGACGTAACAAACGGGTGGAAAAATGCGTTCGTAGAAGGGAAATTGGAAGTCAGTGTTTGTACAGTGTGTATCGGGGGGGGGCAGTATTGAACCTGCCCCCCGCCAGATTGAATCCAATTTGAGAAAGATATTTTTGTCATGATGAACTCCTGGGAGGTAGTCCAGAAAGGAGTCTATGTAAAGCTGGACTTATTTTGCAGATCATAAATATATAATTTAGGTTTAACATAAGGAACATTTCCATGTTCCCATCATGTGCACAATAAACTACTCTATTTATCTATATATGTATCATTTTTAAAGATGTTTCATTCTGTTCACAAATAATGGTTACCTAAGCCCCATGTATGGAAATAAGGACTTACAGGGTGCATGTTCAGCTCCCTTCAAATTGACTCAAATATATTGATTAACTCATCAAGATCCTTAACATAGGATACCAGAATAGCCAAAAGGAAAACAACGAATTCGAACTCCTGACATTAATGTTGAGAAGTCAATCATGAGCAATGTTTATTTCCAACACACATGATCTTTGGTTAGCATTCTCTGTCACAGGTTCATGTCCTTATGGCGCAACCTGCTGGATTTACGTGGTAAAACACCTTGTGACGTCACTGACTGGTGCAGTGACCGCATCTAACAGCCCTGTTGTTTTCTTATTTCGACAAAAACCGGAGAGAACTGAGGCTGTGTGCAGTCCTGCTGCCTTTACTGAGTAATGAGAAGGCATTTATTTTGCATACTATTATTCACTTTCATTCGCCTGCACGTATGAAACGTTTTGAGTATGGTGTAATTTCCTCTGAAGGCACAATTACAGGACGGCCATCTGCAGTGTGTGCTCGCAGTGTCCAAACAAGATGACGTAATGTCAACATCCCCAGGCAGGGATGACCTGCCATTACAGGTTACCCCTGTGCCTGTGAAGTAAAATGTTTTATTTTCTGTCAGAAATATTTCCTATGCACCGTGTAGAGCAATATAATAAACTGTAGTACGTGTCGTGATGTTAAACTATTCGGTTGCATTAAAAACAAAACATCACTGCAATGCA